CTTTATATTATTATGGACAGAAAAAAAATCACTGTCAATATCAAGAAATAAAAAAATACATTTTTTACAAATGAAGGTGCTTAAGCAAAGTAATATATTACACAACAGTGTTTGATGCAAACGGTTCTGTCTGACACGTGGCGTGAAGTTTTTCATAATAAAAATCAAAAGGGAGTTTATCTTTTGTGCCCGTTATCTCGAATTTCTAGATGAGTTAACACCCTATTTTCACCGGTGCGATATTAAAAGTGTCTGCCGCCTGGTATTTATACCTTTTCATTTAACACACACACATATATATTATACAAACGTACAGATAAATTTTTCTTTTTTTCCCCACCCTATCTATTATTGTGAACTAAATGAGTTTCACGGTTGGGCATCAGCTTGCTTTTTTCCCCAAAAATATTATACAATTGAGAACTTATAATAAACCAAAACAACGAAAATACTTATGTACTATATGTATTACCGAGCAACTATTAGACACCCTTGTACGTCTTGTCTTTTCAACAAAAAAAAAATCCAATGTTAACATACCTAATGTAAGTATTATTGATACGCCGATAAGTACTTTCAAAACTGTTTAATATGATCATCGTATTAATTAATAATAGATAAAACCAGACATTTCACTTTGTCATATTTCACCGAAGGAACACTTTTATAAGCAAATATTTTTTAACACCTATCTTAAACCTCGGCGAATCGTTTTTTAATGTCAAGCAAAACAGTCAGACCTTGTAGTTATAGGCTTATTTTCTATAACTCGTCGATAATTTCTCAACAGCTGATTCTCTTATCCACAATCTCTATCAGTTATCGAGGAATTATCGTTTTCCCCTTATCACCATCCCATCCCCACCACATCCACTTCATCACAGAGTAACCTCTGGTGGAAAACAAAATTTCTTTAAGAGGGCGTCGCACCGGTGATTTTCAGTGGTAAAAACATGTTTAAGCAGAGTGAAAATAACTCGCTTAATTTTGGTTTTAGAGTTAAAGCACCCATTATAGAATTAAAAGAGAACAATATTCCAGAGGGCAAGACGGTGCCAATAACAGTCGTTATTTCTAAACTATGTATTGAGCGTTATACTTGGAATAATGAAAAAACGCACTCTGGAATATTGTTCTCTTTTAATTTTATAATGGGTGCTTTTACTCTAAAACCAAAGTGAAGCGAGTTATTTTCAGTCTGCTTAAACATGTAGAGATGAAAAAACATTTTTAAATCGCTTTCAAGGATGCTGTGATAGTCCAAAAAAAAAAATAAACTACCAAAATAGAGTCCTAGTTATTGAACTAACTAGTTATTACACGTCACAGTTTAACCTTTAAATTGAGATTTTGTAAAAAATTGCCTATACTTTACTCCTTAAAAATGGGCGGCGCGACGCCCTCTTAAGAGAAATTATTGTTTCAGAACTGAGCGTCGCTGAATTTATTGACTGTTATCACAGATATATGATAAAAATGATTTGATAACATAAAATGCATAGGTGGGCACATATTACATTATAAGTACTACCGTCAAGCCTTGTTATTTTACTCTGTACCGTGATTTCTGGTGTTCTGCTCATTTATAGCGAAACCCGTCGCGGCTGTCATCTATTTGTTGGCAACTCGTTTCTTTTATTTTTTCCCGTCGACGTGTGTCGAACGACATAAAAGTTATGAATGACACTAATGGCGCGGATATGAAAAGTTTTGTGCCACCGAGAGACTAATGGACGTCAGCTAAAAGCATCCGGCAAAGCAATAAACGTAATTGTAAAGGGGTTTTTTTTCATATTAATGACACAACGAGTTTAGGGGAAACAATATCGTTCCGTGCACGGAGACACGAATAATAATAATATGTTATATTATGTGTGCAGCGTTGCTCGTTTTGTGACACACCGTGTAAACATTGTTTCGTAGAAAAGAAAAGTTCAAAAAATATATTATTAATAAGACGAATGACGAGATCTAATCGATTTAAAAACACTGCTAAAGATTATTATTCTGAAAGTAAAAGTGAAATAATTAATCGGCAATGTCGACCATTGTATTTGTACTGAGTTAAAACAATTAAATTGTTATCACAGATTAAATAGAACCATATTGTGCACTTTATAGTAAAACAATAGATTTTCAAATAACGATTTTTGATTGGGTTAAATCTAATGCAGTAGGGCCAAATTATAGTGACGAAAATATTGTACACGCTATTGTATACAATAATAACGTAAACTGATAAGAAATACTGATAACAAGTAGTTTATTAACGACGGTTGATGATGATAACATTACAGATGTTCATTTTTTTTTTGGCTTCAATGCGTTAGCTGAGAAGGTATTACAATGTGTTATTTTTTTTGTCACGATAACTATTTTTTCTGTGACCCAATTTCTTTGCATAGCAACTCTTTAAATCAGAAATATTACCTGCTGAAAGGTTCTTTAGTAGACCGAAAATTTAAAAATTCACCCCTTCCTACTTCAAAATCGAGAAAACACCAAAAAAATGTACATATCTATATATTTTTCAACTTAATATTCTATACGTTTTTTTAACAATAGTCAAATATAATATTAAATTTTTATAGAATTTTCCTCAGTCAAAGCACAACCCACAAACTTTGACAAACCAAAAAACCATCATAAAACCTTTCTCCTAAAAGGCGTGGAAACGGTTTCTTTATTTTTTTTTTTCAAGTAAAATTTTAGGACTAAAGCTCTGAATATTTTACTACGGTAGATCTAGTATGATAAAATTGTATAAGTCATAGTATATACATTATTTTTTTTAAATCAATAGTTAATCTTTTTATTAAGGAAAACCCCTAAACAAAAGGCAAAATTATACTTTGACCGTAGTCAATTTCAGGGTTGCTTTGTGTGAGTGATTCAGCTGCAGTCAACAGGTATTTGAAAACACCTGAAACTAAACAATAACACTATCATGCGATTTGCTCATTAACGGTGAATAGCATTATGATTGTACATCATGTTTTGTGCTACCTACTATGGTGTAATTATCTCAAGTAACTGAGCTGATATTTTTTTCTGTATAAAAATCAATTTCGAAAAATCCACCTAATTATTATAATATTATATCCGGTGGTGTGTAATCATCATAATGGTACCTATACAACCTATATAATCGTTGGGACACGAATACCATTTACAGATGGGCAAAACTCACATTTTTTTTTATTTAGAAGGTGAACGAAAATCTTTTTGTGTTTAGAACTACAGGGGAAACGAGAAATCGGCTTGGAAGATTTATTTAAGTGTCGCCGAACAAACTTTTCATCGACTTGCTGTCCGTTGACAAGAATGATGAGGATATTTTTCGGTTCCAACAGCAACACAGTTATAGAAAACACTATCAGAAGACAAATATTTAACAACGTTGAAAATAAATAACTAATATTCTATTTAATTCGTATCTATTGTCTACTATATATCACCGCTATGTCTACGCAGACATAAATAGAGATAGAGACAAAATATAGAGATATATAAATCTCTGTTACATTACATCTTCGACTAATATTAACTAATTTATTGTCCCCAAATGAAACGACTGCTGCAAAAGAAAAACCGTTCGTTTTATTGCACTATTTCAATTATAAAGTTAGTTCAAGGGAGAAAAAAAATGTTGCTGAATTTTCTAGAAAAAAACATAATTGAGTTTTCCACGTATAAAATATAATATTATAAATGTGACGAAATATAATAGTATTTGGTCATAAAAATACAATAACAATTAAACGATAACCATAAAACCAACTTTATAGTATACAACATTTTTGTGTACCAACATTTTGTTAAAAACTTACCCGTTTGACTGTGACAAGCTATAAGTTTTCATTTTTATAGGACAACTACTGTTGTTGTCTGCTAGTATGAAGTGCTGTAATGAGTTTATGAGGTCATTAAAAAATATCGCAAAGCTATGATATGATATTATTATCATAGAATTTGATTTTGTCGGGTTAACAAAATAAATACACTCAAAAGCGTGCAAGTTACAACGTACAAAAACCCATATAAAATAAGGATCACTAGGACGGTATAAATGCATCAGATAATATTTAAAAACAATTTCGTCCAAATAACTTGAAACAAAAAAACGTTTTTGAACTTTTCAGTTAAACACCTTTTTTTTGGGGTAGTTTGACAGCTAAACCGGCGACTGTGTGTGGTGGTGTTGATATCAGACGACTAAAACCGTACACGCCATAACAATCGTAACGAAATCCGCGTTTTATTGCAATAAGCCCCGTTTGGGGCGAGGTCGGCTGCATTTGGCTGATAAAACAGTTCTCTCTAAAACTATTTCAACGTGGCTTACACTGAGCGTATAATATATTGCAATCGAGGCCCGTGTAAATTGCAGAAAGGGATTATATTTAATTGAGTTGCCAGCTGAGATGAGACGATTTTTTTTTTTGATTTTTCTCGACTACTACAACATGATATTTTAAACTAGCGACGGTCTATCCTGGAGTGCGCATTTACCGGCTAGTATCCATTTCAAAGTGGACAAATCAATAATTAGAAACCTCACGGAGAAAATATTATAACGTTTTGCTCGGATTTATAATCCATTAAATAACAATTAATTGATTGCCCGTAAATGTTCAAATTTAAGAACACCATCTATGTTTAATTTACTTACTACTCAAACGCAAAATTATAGTCATAACTCTCCGTTAAATCGCATGTTACTTTCCTGTAACTCTTTGCCAAATTTTCATTATGATACTTAGCCATGTAAGAGAACAGGTTGTAAGAACTTTATAGATACTTTATTGATTTTAACAATTACATTATGTAGTACTCAAACTAACATTGTTTCCATAATACTTAATGTATAGCAAACAATAATAATACTGTGAGTAAAATTCCGTTCTAAAACCCAAATAGTCATCTTATAAAAATTCTTAATTTTACTTTGTATACTTCAATGTGTAGGGCTAACGGCTAAAATGAATTCGAAAACTTACTCCTGGAACAGTCGAAGGACTTTGTTCTTGACCATGCAAGCCCACTCTGGCAACGTCGGTGCCATGACGATGTTCTCTGGGCTAGAGTGTGTATTTTGTTATCCATACTGAAACAAGGTAAGTCCATAATATTAAAATTTGTAATTGTTTTTACATAAGTACTTCAGTAATTATTAGCCTAAATGTATAGTTTTTTTTTTTTTAAAAATCTGGTTGTTTAAAAAAAAATGTATTATTGGGATATGGCGACTACTGGTTATAAATTGGTTTATTTGATTTCCATCAGCGTAAGACATGTCTGAGGTAATATTGTGCTCGTTTTTTATAGCACACTCTACCCCCTCCGGAAACAAAAAAACTTCATACCTTGTTCGGTCAGCTTAAAAAAAAAAGTATGTGCAATATCCCAACAAAATATTTCAAAGTCGACCTGCAGCTACAAAATGTTCTGTATCCAACATATTGAGTAAATGGTAACTGTTTCAAAATGTCTACAGTAAAAAAATGTTTGAAAAATAAAACATTGAATCAAACCAATTATAACCGTTAGCACTTAGCGCCAACAATAATTAAAAATATAAGTCTAAAATTAATTAAAAATTAGGTAGCTTATAATGGGAATAAAAATAAATGTCGAAAATTATGTAATTTACTTCTTAATTTAATTGGTGCAAACGACCATTATTCTTTCAGCATTTCTTTTAAACTCATTGTTTAACAATATTACTATTATCTATTTTATTACACATTTTCAAGACTTAAAGAAATTGTCGGATCAGTGAAAATTCGAGCAAATGTCATCAACACATTCTGCGGTCATAAGGTTTGAAAATGGAAATGCTTTCTTTATATATTATCCCTTTTTTAGATGTAATTCTACGACTTAAGGTCTGCAAGTATGAAAGTTACAACCTACAAGTTCCGGTTGAATTTCCAGACAGAAAAATCGAATAATTACACCCCAAAAAAAAACTATGCAAAGAAAACATTTTCGTTTTTGAACCTTATGATGGGAAAAAGCGTTGATGGCATGTTCTTGGATTTACTGTAATGCCTCTAAAATCCGGATTTATAAAAACTAATTGAGCCGATTACCCTCAAGTCTTGAAAATATGTAATATTATAATAAATATATTAGAGTAACAACTAAAATTGTTTAAAAAGATGCATGTAAATTTAGCGCTGAAAAAATTATCGGTTTGCATCAATTATAAAGACATTTGTTACCAAATTCTTGTTCTATTTTAACGATTACATAAGTTTTAAGCATATACTTAAATTAATGTTCCAAATCATAAATTGATGCTTAAGAGGAGTACGTTATACCCCCTAATTATTAAAGAGTTAGGCATAGACAATTTTTTTTGCAAATTTTTAATCTACAGGTCAAACGGTGATGTGTAATTATTAGTTCAGTAATTAGGATTCCTTTTTAGTAGTTGATTAATTTACCAGACTATCGCTGCATTCTTGACACCGATAAAAACAAATTTGTTTGTCTATGAAAAAAAAAATTGTAAAGCAATTTTCGAGAAAAAACACCATAGATTTATAGTTAAAACCAAAATGAGTGCTTGACAATTTTTTTTTACTTTTTATTTAAACAAATTGCGTTGTTAAAAAAAAACTCGTCCAGGCGACGCAGATAAAGTTCAAGACTTTCAGACGGTACAAGTAACTGTCGATTTTTGAAAAAGCTGTATCAAGTAAGCCAACACTGTTCTTAAGCATACATTTTATAAATTCCAAACCGTATGAGTTTATAATATAATAATAAACTGAGATCAAAGCCAAGCGGGAAATTTAAGCGAAAATCATAATAATAATAATAATAATAATATAACATTATAATACCATAAATAAAAAACCGTTGTTGTCTGTGTACGTACCATTTGTCCGGCGGAGCGCGTATCCGTTCGGTTGGCGCAACGGCGGCCGAGCGGCGGACAACCGGGCGGTCGCGGAAAATCCCCGGGAAAGCCGAGACGCCGGGCCGGGCGGGCAGCGCCAGGGCGCCGGCGTCCGCGGGCCCCAGGCCGGTGCACGCGGTTGGCCCGGACGCCGCGGGGCCGGCCAATCGGGCGGCAGCTCGCCCACCGCCGAGGGCCCGCGCCCCCCCCCCCGGCCCCCGGCCCCCGGCTACACCTGGCAGGTGCCCAGCGAAAATGGCTACACGCCGACGCCGCGTGGGCGGGCGAGCGGTCGACCGGCCCGAAACGGTAGTCGTGCGGAAAACGGCGGCACCAAACCGATACATTTATATCTCTTTCTGCATAACACATTACACGACATTGTACTGTATTATTATATCTATATATATATATATATATATAATTTATAATATCATATATATATATATATATATATATATGCTTTATGTGTAGGGCGAAATAATAACGCTACGGAAAATCGTATTACATTGCAAACGGCAGTGTAGGTAGTGTACAATAGTGATAATATTTTCCGTTGACTACTGCGCAGAACTTAACCACCACCACCACCACCACCACCTCCCTCGATACAATATATAATATCAGGAATAGGTAAAAAAAAAAATGTTTAAAAAATCAGCACTTAAAATCGAAATCGTTTTTCCGGTCGAAGCCTTTACGAAATCCAAGTCCAAAGTGAAACCGCAGACAATTAAAACTATATTGAAACGGAAATAAAAAAGAATTGGTCCAGTATTAAAAAAGTTACAGTGTATACAGATAAAAAAAAAACACACATCAGAGTAAAACCAATACCTTCTCGCTTTGCATCGAAGCTAAAATACAATAATAATGTACAAAAAACTATAAAACCAACATAGTGGGACAGAGCACAGTGGATAACTTTTAAATGGCGCCAAACTCTTTAGGTAGAAGATAATAACTTTTAACGGGGATGCGTCTTTATGGTATAAATACATATAAATCGGCTATCTCGATACAGCTCCTCCAAAAATTGTCTTACAGTAACATTACTTAAGTCATCTGAAAGTCAAGAACTTTATCCGTGTCGCCCTAACGCAATTCGTTTTTATTTTTAATAAAGGTACAAAAATAATTCTTTAAACGCTCATTTTGGTTTCAATAATCAAGTCATTATAAAAATCTCCTCAAGGCGACACAGATAAAGTTCTTGACTTTCAAACGATAAGAGTAACTCAGGACAGTAACTGACAGGAGAGTTCCTGTCAGACAATTTTTTAGAAGCTCTGTATCAAGAAAGCGGAGACAGTTATTTCTCAACATTTTTTTTTTTTTAAATCTCTGTCAATGATGCGATAGTTACTGAACTAATAAAATTACACATCACAGTTTAACCTTTAAGTTAAGATTTGGTAATTGCCTATAATTTACCCGTTAAAAATGGACGGAGTGGCGTCCTCTTAATAATATAAATAAAAATAATTGTGTAATAACACATTTCGAGTTGAGAAATATTGACTGATCGATTGGTAATATAAATAGGATTAAAAAAAACTCGATAAAAATAAAATTACACAAATACTAATATTTCTAAAAAATAAATAACGGCGGTTTTTGATGGCAGTTACCTGGTCTGTTTCAAAAACAACATATTAATTCTTAAAAATTGAAACAAAAAGGAAACGAGGTATTGAACGGGAGAGAATACAATTTAAAAAATGTACACAGTCTCTTAAAGTTTAATATACTAAACAATATATATTTGAGATGGTATATACTATGTTATAGTGACACATAATTAAGTGTAATATCATGCATTATGTATAACGATAAAGTTTAACGGTATCTTTGCAGGAATAATATACAGGGCGAATCATAATAATATTATAAATCATTGTCATATGACCCGACCGAGCACGGTTACACACAGACTTGAGACTTTTGAATTGTTACTTGTAGCCGACTTAAGTATTAAGTACTAGATACTAGTATATTCTTAGTGCTTCTCAAGTTTCCAAAACTAGAGCAAACACTACACACAGATAAATTGTACCGGACCGACAACGACTAGATTTCAAGCAAACGAGTAAATAAAATATTTAACAATAGTTATACATTTTTTAATTTTTGCATTTACAAGCATGCATATTATGGTATATTTTAATCATAGTAGAATTTTTTTTTTTACAAAAGAAAACCACGACTAAGAATTTTTCAGCTATGTTTTCATTATCAGATTTGTTAAATACAAGCCTACCTTATGTAAGGCTTTTTTATATAATTTTGCACAAAATATCTTTCTTATAACGTTTAGACAGGATATTATGGCTAATACAGTTATACATAATTATTATCTCCAGGAACTGTCTTTTCCCCTTTTTTTGGTAAAAAATTCTAAAATATCGATTGCATTGACCAATAAAAATAAAGTATTATTTAGCTGGTATTACATTTTAATGGAACTATTATGATTTTTTTATAAATGTAAATTTATCGATGTTTAAATATTTGTAGAAAAAAAGTTGTTTTATTCGATCAAATAATGGAATATTACATACATCTTAAAACATAAAACCAACATTTTACTAAGTTACAATACTTAAGCAAAATATGCAAAATTCTTTTCAGCAATTAAAAAAAGTGCATTTAAAGATATTTGATTTGACCATTTTTAAATAAGCTTATTTTTCATTACGGAAAAAACTCTTTTTGGGGTTTACATTTAAAATGATGTTCTTTTAAAACTCTTCACTATGATTATTTAGCTTATATAAATAAGTTATAAGTACATAATTATCTCTAAGAACTCTCTGTCCTATAGCGTTAATGCTTAAGTTTAAGTTACAAAAAAAATAGTCCTAATTTGTACTATATGGAGTATACTTGTTTTCATAGAAGCAATAAGTCCAAAACTACAATGTAAGAAAATATAAGATATTATATCATAGTGTGTCGTTTCATTTTTGTAGATACTAAATTATAGTTCAATTATAATATTATAATTTCAAACAAATTTGGATTACAACAAGAAGGTTTTTGTTTTTTTCGCAGACTTCAACAAGCCCTATGATTGCATCCATAGGGAATCTCTATTAAAATGTATCTACCAGTACTACGAACACAGAGATCAAAGTTAAGATTTTAAACGGAACTCTAGTAACCTCAGGATTAAGACAGGGGGCCGTTCTGTCACCTGTTTTGTTCATCGTGGCCACGGAAAAAGTCATCAGAGCAAGACGAGAAGAGCCCAAGTAGCAAAGAAACTCATATCGACGGTGTTTACAAAGAGAGGAAAATCCGCAAACCCAAAATATGTACTTGGAAGTTGAAGAATATCAATTTAGGTGGGTTAACAAATTATTCAAATACCTGGGCTAACACAGGTAAGTGGAGGATCAGCGATAAAAAAAAACAACAACTACAATACGGTCAAGGACACTCGTTGAGGAAATAAGGTAAAGCAATTTATAATCACATAAGTGATCCTTTAGTGAAAAGACCACGAGGGCACCCACGTGCAAAAGATCAGATTAGACATGAAGTACGAAGAGAAGAGATCCAAATCCAGATTGGAAGCAAACATCTCTAGATGGATACAGATGGAATATGATAATATTTGTTTATCAGTGTTGTTGTTCATCTTCGAGGCCGTAGGCTAGAAGCACTGAACTATACACGCGGAAGGCGCATAGTGAAAATAAATTGCCGACACACGGATTCCGCCATTTTGATTCTTGTCATGGATAAAACGGTGTAATATATCATTTATTCCGTGATAAAAATCTGATAACATCGTATTATCTTTTATCACCGGTTAAAAAAAAATGATATCAACAATATGAAGTCAGAAACCATTATCGAAAATCACTAAATAAAGTTAGATACGGTTATGTAAAATAACGAAACGGAATCAACATGGCGGCCTCTGAGGCTAGTCACTTTTGTTACACGGGAAATATGCGTTATGCGCCTTCCATGTATATAGTTCAGTGGCTAGAAGACTTTATTTTAAGCAGGACTCGGAACTTTTATTCTTTGCTTGTCTTTTAAGCGTAACAGCGCGTTTATATTTTCAAGATTTTCAAGTACTAGAGAAGTCCTCGGCCTCGACTTTTAAACTATATTCATATAACTATTAACGCCGAGTCGAATACACGAAATATAATATTTTAACTAGCCAAAAGACTTTCTCGGTATGTCTACGCACATCTAAACAATGCCAATTTGTATTGCTCGCTGTTGCGCCATTATGTTATGTAAGTAATATTTTTCATAAATATATATTTCTATGAAGGCGTTATCGATTTGTCTCGGTTATGACCGCCGTCTACGGTCGTCGCTGTTTGTGCACTTCAAAGACATAATAACAAATATATATATATATATATATATATATATTGAATATATTTTGCGACGACGCCGAGACGGTTAAAACACAATAATTTATTCTAAAAATGTACTCGCTACATGGTGGGGGGAGGGGGGGTTAATAAACAGGAGGGGCGCAGCCCTTCGAGGGAAAACCGGGGGAGGTAGCGCAACGCTGTCCCGGGAAAACGTGGGGGGGGGACTAAAAAACCCCCCTCTGTGTATCCGTTTCAGAAATCAATACCCGTGTGTAAAGCCCGCCGCCACCGCCTCTGCAGTCTTCGCGCCTAAGCTGATGAGGCCATTTGCTAAGACAATGGTCTTGGCATCGGTGTGACTGTTAGCGCGACTGGGTTTTTGAATTTTGAAAATTGTAGACAATTATTAAAATATATATATATTGTTGTTTTCGCCACAATTAACGGTCGTTGGAATTAACGTTTACCACATAACATGGTTATTGTACCGGTAAAAGTTGTTAAGGTCGTTTTCGAATGTAATTCTCGACATTTTGGTTTTCCAACCACAATAAAATATGAATATATATATAATAAAATAATAATAACAATAATTGGTAGGGTTGCCAACCGTCCTTCTTTGGGCAGGACAGTCCTACATTTGTTGTATGATTTGTCCTACGTCCAACAAAGCTTTAAACTTTTTGTAGGACAATCCTATATGACAGTTATGTCCTTATACTATAGGGTAAAGTCTATGAAAAATTGAAAAAATACTTATTTATATTTCGTTATCATTATATTTAATTTTATCAATTGTTTAGCTTAATCACTTTTATCAGATTTGTTAAATTTTTTTATAGACCCAATTCTGTATCCGATGTGTATAAGTATATAATTAAGATTTAATTAGAGTGGCAAACATCCAATTGCTATATACTTTGCTTAATTGCTATAAATACTTAAAAATGTAGTAACTGCATTGCATTTACACGATATATAATAGTCGAAGTTAAATCCTCCGAGTCAAAAGTATAAATAAGATTCAATAAAGGTGATATAAATAAAATGTATAAGATTATTTATTAAAAATATACATATATTCTATTCATTATATTATATTCTGTTGACTCAAGGCCGGATTTGTTATTCGGATCCAGCTCCCAGCAATCCCTGAAATACATTTTTTTTAAATAAGTATACTCAATAGAAAGAATAATACAACTCAAAGACTTTATGACTTCAAGTGTCTCAGCCCAGAAAACATCTAGAAATCACTAAGAAATCTGAAAAATATAATTATTTCTCCCTTTTGACCCCTTGGACATATATGGAAAAATATTGTCCTACATTACACAATTTGAAAGTTGGCAACCCTAATAATTGGTGATATAAAAATACATCGAAAAAACTGAGGCATTTCTTTTAAACCGACATTCGACAATGTACGTACCAAATTCTACTCGCCAGTTATCGTACTTAATATTTATCATTTACAATTACCTATACAAAGGTACAGTATTACAAAATACATTTTTAGGGGTCACCTACAGTTACTATTGTTCTATATGTACAACAGCAAAATATATTAAAAATGATTTTGTTTTTTTATTGGATTGCATTTTGAATGCTTTCCATTTTTTTTTTTTTTTTATGAATGTAAATGGGAACGCATTACTTTTTAAAACGAATTTTCCAAACACTGATAATAATATGGTACTTGAGCCTTTGACTAGTGTGCTGACAAGTTCATATTTTCAGTGAAAATGAGTGTCTTACGTCGGATGGATCACCCTGTAGATAACATAGATTAAGTAAAAACCATTTTTTTTTCTTATATACTTCTCCGGTTACCTAATTTTACACGCAAACCTATATTCGTTGCGTTCATTTCTCGTTATCATGCAATGGATTTAAGATACAGGATTTTTGATAAGAAATTAGTGATATGATATCACTGATTGGTATGACCGTATAACTAAAAATTAGTGTTTTTCAATTCACGTTTGTTTTTTATCTTCTAGGATAAGACCTAATCTGCGATATTATTAATAATCGATAGAATATTCAATATTGTGTATTGGTTCAATTGCAAATTATTTGTCTACGAGTAAGACCGTGTAATGGAACTTGCCATATGGGGCATAAACAGGACTGTACCGTTTTGTTCCTTATAAATTGTATTTATTAAAATATCCTTAAACGTAGTTTGTTCATTGAACTGTTTGTTACGATTAAACGAATTAGGTATAATATGCAAGTTAAGTATTGTATTAAACAATTCAAAAACACGATACCAGGAGTTAAACATTAGGTGTCTCGTCTTAGCCCAGGTCTTCGCCCTACTAACCGTATGCACTGGAAGTACAAAGTATCGACATAGTTATTAAAATGGATATAATACATACATACTGGCGCACTGACATGATCCCGGTGGCGTTTACTGCTCAAGTACATAATATTATATGCAAGAGGGTCAAACGCAGGGACGGGGCAGGGTGTTTAGTGAAAGGATAAAGATTTTATAATGCGTCATTCATGTAAATTAAGTGTGCTCGTTCGCTTAACGCCAAGTCAGCAAATTAGAAGGAGGGGGGGGGCGGTGAGTTGATTAAAAAATAATCGCACGTGCTGCACAAAATAATAATAATAATATGCTGCCCGTTCACCGTGAAGAGATACACCCAACAACCCCTTTCGAATTTCTGTGTAATGTACATGTATGTCTGTACTCGATTATGTTAAGCGGTTTGTACTTCCTGCAGTGGATTTGCTTGAAACAAAGTTCAAACATTCCAAGTTTGGTCTTGTCTGGACCACGGGTGGACACTGATCACTATGAAAATTCAACACGGTGAATCCGTGGATATACTTATGAGTTATCATCAAAATAAACGTGGCGGCCATCTTGCCGTTAATCAACCAGTATAAGATGGCGGCCTCCATCCGAAAACCATCGTTTACATCGAGTGTCCTCTCTGATTTAATCTACCCGGTGGAAACTGCCGTATGATCCATATACCGGAGGATCCGCTTAACGTAAGACATTTCGGATGGTCAGTTTTGAATAATTCATTTTTAAGTTCTTAATGTTTAAAATTTAGGAATGCAAAAAAGGGCCTTAGCATTATTTATATTCGAGCGCAATACCCATACTCAACCGCACAAAGTAGTTATCGACCGGTCGAAATCTCCAGCAAATTAGGTATTCTCATTTTGTTATTTTTTTTTTGGGGGGGGGGGGGTTCCTTAATAAAAAAATCGTTTTACTACAGATTTTTGAGAAAATTGTGCATGCTATAGTCCCATTTTCACATCTCAAGCCCTAAAACTTCACCGAAAAAAGGTAAATAAAAGTAGTTCCCACCCCTTCTGGGAGAAAGGGATTTGTCGATTAATCGATTTGTTTAATAATACTTTAATAATATAACCAATTTTTTTTTAATTTAAAATTAAAAAATGCATTGGTAATTGTATATTATGACAGAACGTATAATGAAAAACACTAGTTTTACAGTAATTTATTATTTGCTATAAAATTGAAATTATATATTGTATTATGCACAAAAATAATTAAAATTGTGCCGATGTACATTTTAAAGAGAAAGAGTTCATCATTAGGCAAGTATTAATATTGTTATAATTTTAAAACCTAAACCAAATAGTTAAGAAAAACTTTAATAATGTTCTATTATATTGCTAAAATATTTTATATTACCGTTATTTTTCTAAACAATTTTGTCAGGTTTGGTATAAAATATTATAAGTTTTATTTGAAGTTTTAAAAATAGTTAACGTGTTTAAATTAGATTATTTATGGAAAATTATTGAATTTTTTTATAAAAAATATACAAGATTATTTGAATAATATTTTACAGATATTGTCAAATTTTGTCAGGATATAAAAATATTTAATATTATTTTTTAATCATTTAATGTCCTGTAAAAACACTTAAAATGGAAGACTGTACCATTACTTTTAACGAACCAAGATTTTTTGTATTTTAACTTGAACATTTAGTAGTTATTTCTAAAACTTCAATTTCTAGGTAAAATTGAACGTGGTATAAGGATGTTAAAATAAAAAATACTATTTAAGTGCTTATTATACCTTTTAATTAGAGTTATTATATTTTTACATCTTTTACAAATATCAAAGATCGATAGTAGACACGACTTCTGAATTTAAAATTAATAATGTACAAATAATTCATCATAACAATATTTATACAAGTATAATGTTTTCATAAAATGTGTGCTTATGTAAATTAAAAATCAGAATAATAAAATTATAATTTATACACATTAATTAGATAGGAAATTGTGCGACCTGTAAAAAAAAAAACTGGTATGACTTTACCAAACAAATATAATAAATATATAAATTTCACTGAAAGGTTAATAGTTTAAACTGTGTTCGATAAAAACATAAATAAAAATAGATAATTAACATTTTATATAAAATATATGTAAATGCAATCGACTAAATATACATCATTACAAAACACCGAACAGAAGACGTGCGTACACAATTTTGTAAGTTTATCAAATGGTTTTTTAAATTTTTTTATCATTATTATTATCGAGTATTTTTATTTATAATACACGCAGACTTCGACAATACGGTTATACATTATTTGAGTGCATTTCAGTCTTGAGTTTATCAAATATTACGTTAAAACAATAACCTATTTTTGTTTTGACTAGACATTTACAAAAATGGAGAAAATACATTCTTATCGCTAATAATAATATTATTGTAATAGTAACACCACACAACATTACTACGCTAATATATAATAATAGAAAATCCCAAAACATGTTACACGCAAATCGCTCGTAACGGCAAGATTAAAATTTAGACATTGTCGTAACGGCCGTACTTATTATATCGACCGACGACGTACAATACAATCGTAAAATATTTCATATTTTATCCATACAACAACTTAATTGTAAATAGAAAAAAAAAAATGAAAACAAGAAAATACTAAAATGATATGTCTACCAATTGAAAAATACAAATAATAATAAACTAGACTAGGCGTCGTCTTAAGAAATATTACAACCGCTATAACTTATAATAATGTTTTAATTAAATATTTATCATAGGGCTTTAGGTATATAATATCTTATTCAATTATTGAATATTATCATAGATACATTTTTTTTTTTAAAATAAAAAAGAGAAAACAATATATTATTATAATATTATATAATATAATGAAATATGATCACAATGTGTTGTTTAAGTAACTATAGACAAAAAAAAAAATCAAGTTTTTTATGGAAGGAAAATAAGTGAAGCTCTTCATAGATGCTAATTATTACGTATGTCACTTTTTGTTCCTACCCTGTTTCGAAATTACTTTATCACTCGAAAGTAACACTTAGGTCGAGACAAAAATTTAGTTGTACAGTAATGTTTCTTTCTTTTTTTTTATGTATAAATAAAATATACAAAATAAAATATAAAGATTTAAAGGTAAAAAGTTAAAAATTGGTTTTTTGTCAAAGTTCCACATCTACTATAACACCACTTTTTGGCAAAAGGAAATCTCAACAGTCTTCTACGTCGCTCGGCGCGTCGAGAGCTGTGTGTAGAGTGACGGCGACGCCTCGGTTTACGCTGACTGCAGGATAAAATACTCCGTAGAGGTCATGAAACGCGACAGGTCCCTAAAACAGAATTACAAATATTTAACATTTCATTATTTTTTGAATCGGAAATAATTAAAAAAAAAAAAAAAACCAGTGTATTTTTCAACGTACTTGTGGCTCATCGTTGACGTAAAAACACAGCTGATGTTTGTTTAGATCCAGAAGCACTCCGATCGTGGATCCCACTTGGATGCCGCCGTCGCAGCGTTGGTCGTGGCTGTTGCAATGCATAAACCAAGACCTCTGCTTGTCAATGTACATACTCCAGCCGAATTCGTCTTTACCTACAATTATTAGACAAATTATATTAGGTTAATTTCAATGTTTTATTATTTTATTAAGAACTTACCAAGCATTTCTTCTCTGGACACGTCCAACCTGGCTACGCCGAAACTAGGATCTGTGTCAGCGTCGAATCGATCTATAGTGAATTCCCAATAATGAACGCCTCTAGAAAAGCCAACGCTACCGATGGCCACACGATGTTCAAATCCTTCACAAGTTACAGTGTTGTTGTCAGCCGTGAAACACAGTTCGGGAGAACTCAAACACGGATCGAACGTGAACCAGGCCACTAATTTAACGTGGCAAGTAAATAAAATTAATTAAAATATTATTACGAATAATAAGTTTTGGAAATTACCTTCGGAGGTTTGTAACCCGATGACTTCGCTGTATTCGCCTTCTCCGGCACTGTTGAACGCTTTGACTCTGGCGTTGTAAGTACAGTTAAAATGTAAGCCGTCCACAGTGCAAATCGTTTCCGTTCCACAATAGACTTCCTGTAAAAAACAAAATTCAAAAATAGTATAATTATAAAAAAACTTATGTTGAACGGATAGTCCGATACCGTTAAAATATAATTTTAAACTGATTACTCACTCTAAAATCACCGTTGTTTCCATCGTCTAATTCCAAGACATAACCTTCAACGTACGAAGAAGTCGGAGGTTGCCACGCAATAGTAACGCTATTGTTTTCCGCACTACATTCTTCGGTGATAATGAGTGCAGGGTTCGGGGCTACAGAAAAAAAAAAAATCAAAATATAATAAAAGAAATGTTACTCAAGATGACATTTACTAATCATATAATTTCAGATAGTCCTTAACGCAATGTACCTGATGGCTTATTATTGTCCTCTCCGTTCCCGAAAGCTTTTTTTAATGTTAGAAAGCAAAACAAACAAAAATTATATTATTTGTTAGGTAAAGCGTATTTACAATAGCGGTGTAAGCTAACAAATAGACTTTTCTTCTAATTTGAAGTAATTTTATTACGGTTTAGTAGCGAGCACTCGTAATTGTATTTATTACTTGTGCGTTAGTTTGGTACAAGTGCAGTTATAAACATACTTTTCATTTGAATGAAGTTCAGATGTTCAATGGCTTTTAAAACCGTATTGTCGTCCAGGGTCAGGTCTAGCTGATGATATGATCGCGGAGACGGTAACACGTCCTTATGCCAAGTCATGTCCGTATTGGAAACGCGGGCTATCAACATGGAGCCGACCTGAAAGAATAAAAACCGGATTAGGTACATTTTTAAGTATTTAACTAGTTTTTATGAGTATTGTAATTTTAAGAGTCGTCACTCGTACCTGTAAAAAGGACACCGGGTCGTTTTCCTTGAGGGCTTCGATACAAAACTGCAAAAGCGAAGTGGTTTTTTGTAGTTTGCTAGTACAAGACGCCACGTGCTCTTTCAACGATCTCTGTTTGATCTCCTTGTCTCGTCGCACCGTATCGATCAACCATTGTCGTCGTCTCTCGATGGATCGGATCAATGCGTCACAGCGGGCGTCCACTTGTCTTTCTAGGTTTTCGCATTCTCCCTACAATCACAAATATAGGGATATTAATTTTAAATTGGTGTTAAATTTAAAAATAATTTTTTTGTTGAAATACACTGAAAATAATAAAAATATTTGATGATATACTATTTTAATGAGTTCAAAAAAAAAAAAAATCTATAAAAATTGAATAGCATTATAACTATTAACTGAAAACATTTTTTACAGGTAGGTATTTTAGAACATAATATTGCGTTAAAATAATAATAAGTAAAAATTTAAAAAAACAAACTATATAAATTAGTAATTTATTGTTAATAAATATTTCGTTAATTAACGTTATTTGGAATTATATTAAGCAACTAGTTAACGCTTTGTTGCATTTATACATTTTTTAAAATAATATTTTTAGTAATTTAGTAAACATGACGGAAATTGAAATTTAAAAACTTAGTTTTTTTTTTTCGTAATAAATTTACTATTGAGATCTTGTACACCCATTAAATCTTTATGCTCAACACTGAGATCATAATGAGACATAATGTAGTATTACATATTTTTAAGTGTCCACTTATGCAAAAATAATTGTGTGACTTTGATTGATGTAAATAAGTTGAAAGTTTTTAGTAGTAAAACACCAACTTTTACTGTCGTTAATACACAGACTTGATTTTAAGTATTTAATATCACATATATAACTTCTTCTCAATGACAACAATACTCACGTTGAGCTTTTCCGACATCTGTTTTAGTCTTTGTATGAATTCCGTGGTGGTACGCGCTTTTTCAGAAAGTTGCTGGAGATTTTGAGATAACTCAGTCTGAAAACAAAAATACAATTACTGTTATTACATTTAATACATACATTTTTTTAAACGTAAATTAATTAACATACGGTAAATTATATTATGCTCTTATCCTATAATGATATAAGCAGTATATTTAGTCGAAGGGAGTGTGGGTATTAAATAAACTGAGTAATTGCTTAAAAATCACAGCCCTGCTAGGAATAAATTAGGTGCGAGACACTTGTTTTGTCCTGACAATAATTTTTAAGATAACATATAAAAATAAACAGCGTGTGGACGTTCAGTGTTGTTCATATCGACCTTGCTGATTTGGAAATCAGCAAATTGGAATTGGTCGGTCAATATTAAAACAATAATAATAATAATTAGGACTTGCAAACTTTATAAATAAATACCCCTACCCTAATGACATACAGTATTGTAAGTTCAGAATTTTTTTTTTATCGTAATTTAATACATTTTCCTGCTACTTATAAATTAAAAAAACTATTTGTTAAAATAAAAAAATGTATATAAATACAAATAATTTTTTTATTATTCATATTATTTTTAATAAAAATCAAAAGAGATTTAGTAAAAATAAATAATATTTGTGAGATGTATTCATTGAAATACAACTTATTATATAATAATCATAAAAAAAAAGATTAATATTTTTTAAGGCATTTTAAGAGTCAATTATATTATGTTTGGAGTGCAATAACATGTAAACACTAATAAAAATCAAACATAATCTAAAACTGAACGTTTGTTAAAAAATATTAGGTTAGGTTAGAACAAATTTGTAGATTACAACAAATGTCTAAGTGAACGATTTTTAATAAACTTTTGTTAATACTACCAACATAATACCAGAATAATACAAATAAAACAGGTTTTTTTTAATAATTACTTGTTTTCGGGCATTAGACAAGTATCAAAGTCCAAATAACCCCAACAAAGACTTGACCTTCTATTAGATAACTTCTATTATATGATAATATATTATTTTATCTTTATATTATTACTATAATATTGAGCTAAAAAAAAGGGTTTTTTTAGAGCGTTCTTACACGGTAATAATTCCATAAAAATTAATTTTTACAGCAATTTACTTCAACATTCAATTATTGGATAAATACAATTGATAAAAAATTCAATCAATAAGTTAAGTTTTTTTTCCATTTAAAATGGACGAATCGTGGACAGTCTATTGATAATTGATGAATTATAGATAATTGACGGCCGTCAATTAAAATAAATGATAATAGATTTAATTTTATTAGATAAGTTCAAACTGATCATCCGTAACAGAGATAATAAAAATACAAAAAAATAGCAGCTAAAGATTTTCGTAGAGGCCAAAACAAGAAGTTTAAGAGAAATATTTTGTAATCTTTTTTTGAAAAATACTTTTATCTTGAAAAAATATTTGAAGCTTATGAATCAAAACTGTTGGATGGTTAAACAACCATTTATATAATTTATTTTTGAATTAAATAATATTAAAAAAATAAGTATATAAAATTGAAAATCTGTGTAAAATTGTACAACTATAAATTAAATATGTTTTAAAACAAGCCGACCTTTGTTAATTAGACATTTATGGTTTATACTATACACATAGGGGTAGCTTACTTATAAACACATATTATTAAAATTAATAATTATTTAGTAGTTTATTCATTTTCCATAGAAATAATGAACATAGGAGTGCACATTTAATAACGGTTTAATCAAGTGTTTAATTTTCTGGTATAAATAAAAAACAGACTTACACTATTAACAGCCATCATTTTAAAACTATTATTTAAACGGGTGGTCAACATTTTTAAAAGCCAGACATTTTTTTTTTTTAAATATATTTTACCAAGCAGTTTTTTTATATAAATCATTTTGGAAAATATGGACTTGATTTCACCATCTCCTCAAAAGAAAATATTAAACAAAAGAGTAAATCATTGTGACGCACCTTGTATATTATTAATTGAAGTGATGAGAATCTTAAGGTATATACGGGTTTTATAAAATATTTTACAAGGGAGCGAAGTGAATAATTTCTGTTATTAATATTTGATTCCCCGGCGAAGAATAATTAAAAATATATTGCAACAGTTGTTATAAAATAATTTGTTTTTGCTGTGTAAGTTACACATCTGTTTTGAAAATTGATTAAAAGTCATAAAATAAATACAGATGTTATTGCGATAACAGTTGTAATAATGATCAACAACTTGTTTTTCAAAGAAAAACAAATATCACTTGTACACTCTTTTTAATTTCCATTGCTTTATACCGAATGTATAGCCATCAAACGAGAGTTGGGAAAAATGTAATTAAATAACGAATAACAAACAGAATAACCAAGTTCTACAAATGCCGTAGTAATTCTAATAAAAAGATAATTGTTTGTGCGAATTTGTTTTATTGTTTGATACATTTCAAATAACGTTATTATAGTAAAAAGTTTTTGGAAAAATTAATTATTTTTACAAACATTTTGTAAGTGCTTTTATTATGATAGCATAATTACCGAACAATGTAGTTTTAAAATTACACACAACGAACTGTTCAATTAATACAACTTTTAATGATTTTAGTAAAAATTGTATTCCAATAAATTAAAACGAACGTTATTTGAATTTCAAATAATATTAAAATAAAAACAGTTATTAAACATACCTATCAACCCCCCTCCTCAAATCAATAATGACCAAGTCTCCCATCAACCAAACTGTAGGAATAATAATTGTAAACATTTAAAACTAAAATCGGACATAAAACCAAACTTGCTGGTTGATTGACCTGGACGATAGGACAACCATAGAAAAAACTAAATTTAGAACGAACACACTTACAGATTGTGGTGAAAATTAAATTTTTTTGGCGAGAGTTAATAGGTTTTATCACATCGTCACGACAGTAGTTCTCGTGTGTGTTGTGTACAAAACTAATGCTCTTCACTAATACTACTCAACTGGACATTTTGACACGAGTCCAGATAGTAGCCTACTTTTTTGTAGTAAAAATAGCTTTTAGACCAATATTGTTTATCCCCCATAAGAAGCCTCCAATCAGAATGTAGCCGGGTAAGTCTTGGCAATAAATCCTAATTCGCCAATATCTTTGGGAGGGAGATAAAAAACATAAAATGTTGTAAAAAATTAAGATCACATTGTATAAAAACACTATACTAAATTACCCTATGTTAAACCCTATGAGATATTGAGAGGATCACTTTAAAAAAATCACCTTGTATGAATTATATATACCTACAATTGAAATAATTAAATAATTTACTATAACGGCCTTTTTTTTTTCATGTCTATATAATTATAATATGTGTTATAAATATTATAACACACGTATATTTATAACATCAAACGATTCTGTTTTGACTATCCAAGCAATTTATTATCAGTTTAACAATTAAATTAAATTATATTACACATAGTATTCAATCACTAAAAACTGGGACAACATGTACGGATTACAACATATTACAATAACAACAATTTAAAAAGAAAAAATACATTAATAATAAACAACAATTTGACTAAACTGTATTAAAATTTTAAATTACAAAATAATGTTTTGGTTTTAAGTTGAAAAATTTCACTCCTTCAAAATTAAGAAGAGCGTCATAAGATATGCTTATTCAAATGGAATCTTTTTTCTTTATTCCCATTTTAAGGGCGCGATGTTGGGATTTTCAAGACTGCGCAAATTAGACTCCAGATATATCGAGTGTGTACTTATATTTAAAAGAAATTATTTGCATCTAAGCCAATGTTTTTTTTTATTTTAAAACAACAAGTAACAATAAAACAATGTATTTACATACAGCACTTAAGTAGATTAAATCCTATCCACCCCGCCACTTTTATTAAATTAAATTTAATTAAACAGAAAAGGATTTTTAGTTGTTTAAACATAATTTTATTATTTTTACTAATATAGAAAGGGATAAAAAGTGTTTATTTTTTGTTTACCTTAAAAATGAGTGAATACTGTCCTATCAGATTCGATCAGCTTAAATTGTTATGTTATTTTATTAAATATATTATCTTATGTTTTTGAAGCTACGTTGAAATAAATTAACGAAAATAATAATCAGTTTTATGACATTATTTACAACAACACTCCGCTATAAAACAATAAAATACATATTATACACGCGTGCAAATAGGGTTTAAAATATGATAAAATTAAGCTGTTAAGCTGTTCGATTTGCAAAAGCATTACTGTAAATCATTAGAATTCAATTAATAATTGTACAGCTATTAGAAACGTTTTAGATAGATCACATATCCAACCGACAACTATGTGCCTTTCACGAGTACCTCCGAATTAATGAGCATTAAATAACTATACATAATATAATATATAACATCATTGAGCGTAGAATGTAGATGCTCAATGATAACAATAGTATGATCGTCAAGTGCAGTAATTATTGTAGAACGATTAACGCAGTTGGGGTGTTACTGAAAATATATCCCCAACAAATTAGAAAGTTTCATAATAATATTATTAGTGTATTTTACGAGTAAAACGTCTATTTTTTTTTTTTACCAAATTTCAACCTATGATTTATGTAATTTAAACGAGTTGGACTAGTATCAAACAAACGAGTTCGCATGATGTTATTTTGATCGATACAATACACATGTATTATATTATTATGTATATTATGTTATAACCCCATTCTAGATGTACCTAAGGTCTAATTTTCTAAATCTTCACATAAAATAACGAAATAAAGAAAAAGGTTCTACTCCTTCCACAAGGAAAAAGGCTTTATGATATTTCTTTTGATTCAACGTTTCACGGTAGTGCTATGTCTGAAGAATATTATTATTATTATTATGACGCCCCTCGAGGCAAGAGTACAGACACGGTTTAAATTAATACTAAGAAGCATCAACACACAATGTATTACAGACACACTTCCAAAGCTATCCACAAATACAAATACTAGGTAACATAAAAAAAAATAAACAGATTTAACTTGAGTAATTTAAAACACGTAC